ATGGCATTTAATCATCGATCCTTCTACTTACGAGAATTAATTCTTTCAACAACTTATTTGAGATGTTAAGTTCTATTTAATTCTGTAGTTTACCACATACTTCCCTTGTTCAGCCGGAAATATACATAAAGCGATGTAACGCGCATTTTAATTATGATGTCGCAATCCCACAAATTATCGACTAGAGACCCGGAAGATCTATACGTTGAGTCTTGGTAATTGTTATTTAACGAAAAAGGCAATAATTTAGAAAAAATATATATCATTAACTCAATACATTCCCTAGATATTGGTTTTGTAAGGATTATCAAAATAACACACAAAAATTTCCAACATTTCTGTTCTTTTTTTTTAAACAAAACTCATTTGCCTTTTCAGATTCCATGCGACGAATCAATTCTCATTGCAACGGTAAGTTTAATATTTCTTAATCATTCATTTGGTTTTTGATCATGGATATAAATGCTTAGTTTCAAGCTCAACTGGCCCAAAGGACAAGTGGTCTTATGTCTGTGATGCAGCGTCCGTCGTCCATCCGTCCGTCCGTATATCGGTCTTTCGGTCTGTCCGTCGTCCATCCGGCGTCAACTTTGTACTTTAAACAACGTCCTCTCAAGAACAAAGAGGACTTAGGTGATGATATTTAGTCAGTAGTATACTCAGATGAGGAGGTATCAAGTTTGTTCGTGTGGATGATCTTGACCCACTTTAATTGCAAGGTCACAAATGGCCAATGTGTATAAACCTTTATCTCAATGCACAAAAGTTCTAGGATGGTGATATTTGGTAAGTTGCATGCTGAGATGAAAGGCTATAAAGTCTATTCAACCTAATGACCTTACTAAATTGGTCAAATATGTTTGAATCTTTTAACACGTTCTTTTGAATTTACTCAGTCAAAGAGTTTGGTCCATTTTAACGTTACAAGTGTGAGATTAATACCAGGTGAGAGATGCAGGCCATTTGGCCTCTCTTTATATTCTTTATAACTTGAACTTGGCCAGGGTATTTGACTTTCTAATATCAGACGGTAAGCTATTCCACAACGTAGCCGAAACCCTCCCAAAGCATCTGTTTCCGTAAGTCACAGTACGAGATTTTGGGACACACAACAAATATAACATGATTCCAGTTGTAACGTCACACTGCTCTCTGACGAATGCAGTACTTTCCTCCGTACAAGTTTCGTACGTTTCATCATGTTTATGATAACAGCATTATTTAGAATTTAATATGACAACTAAAGACTTTTATTTAGGTGAATATGTAATTATATGAACCTGGGAAATTGAAATCGTCCGAGACGAACATGATTTGTATAACCACATATTTGCCTCAACAAAAGTTGTTATTATGCATGTGCACATAGAATGTTTACAGTATCGATTGATTTTCATAAGCAATTGCCAATATCTATTCATTTTCATTTTAAAAAATATCAACAAAGTACACAACTAGAAATATGCTCATCTTCAATTTGGATTAAATAATTTGCCAATGCACTGGTCAGATCCATCACAAATATGAACAACTCCAAGCTATTTATACCTACATTAACACACTGAATCACAGTTCATAATGAGAAACATCATAGCGATTATTCACACCATACTTCGTCAGCCGATTACATAGATATTTGCTTTCAATATGTAGTCTTACCTCTAAACTTAATGATAAGCGTGAAGATTACAATTTTCCGGTCGCAAACGTTCCCTTTTATAATCGACATAATTTCTTTTTAAATGTTGAGGTATGAGGGTCCATATGTTCTAGATGTACGAAATGTGATAATATGTTTTCTGGATTCTTCTAGCTTATTCTATATTGTTTTAATGAGTCAGAGTATAAATGGATGTTTCACACATAAATCATCAGAGAAGACGTACTTTGGGTTCTTAAAAGTTTGAAAATGTTGTAATATCATCTATTACTGCACTGTTTGTTGGTAGAAGAGATATACAGACTTTAAACAATATATATACTAATAGTCTATAAACATATGTTCATATAGGGAACGCAATAATATTAAGAAACTTTAAAGTCACTCTTTTCCAAGCTTTTGGGCTTAGCCCTTCGTCAAGGATTAAATGTCAATATATATATATACAAATGTATCAATGTAAAAGATATCTATATTTGCAGTTTTCTTTCTTTTAATATGAGAACTATTTAATCACTTATAAACCAAGTTCATCATCAGAGATAAATTAAGAGCTATATGTTTTTGGTGTAAAAGATAAATTATTTAGATACCTCGTTAAGATAAAAGGGAACAGGGTAAGTTAATGGATGTATGTTTGACAAAATAATCGCTAGAAATACGAAGTTAAGTAGCACTAGTTTAAACATTAAGACAATTAATATAAAGAACCAAACAAAGCAAAGATTGACACTGCACCCTTAGCCCATTGCGTCCATTAAAAGTCAAAAATAAGTGTAGAAAATAACAAAAGGGAAGAGGTACCTTTAAACCCTTTATAACATTACTATATACAATTGTTTGGTTGCAACAGATGATTGGTTCTTACATTAGTGTTTGATGCAAATTGTACAAGACGAAATTCTAGCGACAAGATAAGTATTTAGTCAACAAATACTTAAAAGTACGCCGTTTAATATTAGGTACCTGTGGATCGATGCTGTAAGTTATTTACATCCGAAACTGTTTTGTAATTAGCTCTTCAGTTTTTAAAGGCTCGCTCTATTACTTACACGGAGATACACGTTTGTCAGCACTATAGTCTGTAATGTAGGTAAGAACATTTGCTGACGTAAAGAAGTTTTCGATTTGCTGACATTTAACCTATTTGTATTTCGTCTGAGAAATGGATCGGTTCAGTTGTTCTGACATCTGTTATCTTTACATCTTTAAGTTGAACAGGAACATTAATTGAAGGAGCTCATAATCAAAAATTGGATACTTGTTATATGTTTTGTTACATTAAACATAAAGGTTATTACATGGCAGGTATATCAAGAAACATGTAATACGTACATGATATCGTAAATTTTTAACTAAATACCTTTTGACAGAAGACGCTGATTTGTTTATAAAGAATGTTCCGGTATTATTCCTCTAAATTCAGATACATTCCCTTTAATCAGGCACCTGAGATATCACTTTTTAAACGTCTCTGTTAAATTTATAGAAGATCCGAAATAAGATTTTGGTCTATGTAGACAGCTACACATTATACATAAGATTACACACGAAGCAAAAAAATAGGTATCTACTATTCTGAAATTTAAAATGTTTTTATTAAATTCAACTACAATAGCTTCTTCCATTTTCCATTTTCTCTTTGAATACAAGTATTGCTTATTCCATAAGTCATATGGTAAAGCTGTTTTCCGCCGAATGACGAGATACCTCACAAACCTATTTCCAATTTTTACCGGTAACCCCAATGATTCAAAAACAGCCGGTACATAATTGGGTTTTTAATTGAGTCACAAATATAACAAACTAGAAATATGTCGATAGTCAGACAACAAATATCTAAATCAATCAACAGCAATCCATAATATAACAGTCTACCCCTTCGGGAACCTCAAATGTGCCTGATTCATACTCGGAACGTTTTAAGGTTATATGTAAGTCATGCGTGAAATTTTGAACGCCTTCAGGTTGTACGTTATTCCTGTTTGAAAAAGAAATCTATATCGGAGTTATCCAAGGGGTGACTAAAAATATTAATAAGTTTTCCGCCGAATGACGAGATACCTAACAAACCTATTTCCAGATTTTTTAGTGAATAAGAGGATTGATAGTGCTCATAAGTTATAATGTGGACTAATTATGGTAAGGTGTTTATAACGGTACATGTATACGATGCGTGTTTATATAAACGGGATATGGTTGGTGCGGATCAAGGGGACCGTGCGTACAGTACAGCAGTCAAAGTAGTTGTTATGGTCAGACAATCGATATTGTCCACGCACATAGCACCAGCAAAGGTTAAAGGTCGGAATGATAGCTAATTATAGATCCTATAAATGCAAGGTGCCGTATATATGGTCAGTTTTGCACAGTAGTTTTACAGTTTTAGTTGGGACGTTTACCGTTAGTTTATAGTTTTGTTTCGTGCGTAGTTTTAGGATGTGCATACAATTACATAGTTCGTAACTGGATCGGAGACTGTATGTATACCTTGGATTTATACACGAATAATAAATATGTGAACTTTATTCATTTTTATGTTGTTTATCGCACCACATTTCCAGCCCAACAAATCTTCACGTCCCGTCAGTACGGAGATGCCGTTACAATTTTACCGGTAATCCCAATGATACCAAAACAGCCGGTACATAATTGTTAAAGAATTTAAGCTATAGTTATCATTTTAGAGGACATTTGTCAGGTTAATCAGCTAAGAAAATCTGAAAATTCCAACCTTTCTTAAAACGGTTTGAGAATGTTGTAACCGTTTTGTTTTTGTAACTTTACCATAGTAATCTAATTCAATATACCATAGTATGTATTTATTTTTGCATCTTTTAAAACTATTTATCTGTTACAGTGGGAAATAGCGATACCTTATTAGACATATACCGCCACGTAGACTTGACACCAGTGAAGAGGACATCATTATTGGTACGTTAACCTTTAATATCTAAATAGTCGCATCAAATAATATTCAATTATAGCCTTTGCCTGAGGTCGATGCCTGGATTTATCGACCCGATAAAAAATATATTGACAGAGGACTGTTTTATCATTTTCAAAACAGTAATGTTAGCAATCTGAAAAAACACAGCAAAAAGCTACGAAAACGGGACGATAAGTTCGATTGGAGACACGTCATCATCCTATATTTAGAAACACCCAGTCCTTCAAC